ATTTTATTCTATTAATGGCTAGCAGCCCTGATTTGTCTTAATGGTGGAAGCACGTGAACTTGCTCAGCGGCTGCTGAGTCTTTTAGAAGCAAAGGACACGCCGACGTCTGCTTTCAGCTTCAGTCACACCGGTCGGACTGGAACGCTGCAATCCGGATTAGCGCTGGCAGATCCGGTTTACCTGTAATCGTCTGCCTCCGATTCTCATCCAGGTAAGAGGAAACTACACTCCCCATGGCGACAAGTTCGGAGCCAAACTTGCAGTCCTTCAGCTGGATATCAGAGAAACGCCCGGCACCGGTGTGGGAAGAAGAGAGTAGCTGAGGCTGACTGGGGTTACCCCGGACGCCTTCTTGCCGCCCAGCCCTCTGCAAGCGCACAAGCGACGGCAGCTGCTTCTGCGCTTCTGGGGACCGAGCGCGTTGCTGCGGATTCCGCGCCGGAGACACGCCCACACCCTGACGCCTCCGCCGCCTCGCCTACGCCTGTGGCGGCCTTTCTGGGCTTTTGCGAGTCTCCGGGATTCCTGTACAAGAAAGGGGTTATGGCGTTTCAAATGCAGAATTTCACGGTGATGGTAATGATGCTGCCAATGATAATGACGATGGAGGAGGAGTTGGTCTGCTAATCTAAGAAGCGTTTGAACTTTGGTGTTTGTTTCGTTGGTTAATATATATATTTCAATTAGAAGATCTTCTAAAATCAGTTTTGGTAGGGATCAGCAGTGTTTGCAGGTGGTACCCCCTTATTTCAGAAACGCAGAATGAGAAAACCCCCTACCTGTCAGATTAGTTCTACATCTTTATAAAATCTTTAAGTTTGGCAGTGTTACTTGCGCCTTATGGTCGTCCATGACGTTAGTTTTAAATTAAACCAGGTAATCCTGTTGTGTTTGATGAACCACACCCGAGGAGCAGAAGGTTAGAAAACTGGCAAGGGGAGTCCCCCCCCTCATCATTCAGGATTGCAATTAGTTAGACCGTAGGCTAATTGATTGTGCTATGCTATAGTCGAATACTGACGTATGTAGGCCTAATTACTTCAAACTGGACCTTGTTCTTTCAAAATTAAATATGGCTATATCGGATGAAGATTTTTTTTATTGCTATATCAAAACTAAGAGGTCTTCTTTCTGAAAGCAGCAGGGCTGCACTGCTAGTCTCAGACAAATACCGGGCTATATTACAATCTAAGCCAAAACATAAGCCGACCCTAACAGTAGGCTACATAGGCCTATATCTTTTCATAACAGTAGGCTATATATATATAGCTGCACAGGAGCAGGCCCTGAACACCAGAGCAACAGAGGCCAAGATCTACCACACCAGACACGACCCAAGGTGTAGGCTATGCAAAGAGGCCCCTGAGACAATCCACCACATAACTGCAGGGTGTAAGATGCTGGCAGGGAAAGCATACATGGAACGCCACAACCAAGTGGCTGGCATAGTGTACAGGAACATCTGTGCAGAGTATGGACTGGAAGCCCCAAGGTCAAAGTGGGAAACGCCGCCTAAGGTGGTAGAGAACGAGCGAGCCAAGATCCTGTGGGACGTCCAGATCCAGACCGACAAAATGGTGATGGCGAACCAACCGGACATGCTGATGGTGGATAAACAACAGAGCAAAGCCGTCGTGATTGATGTAGCAATACCGAGTGATGGCAACATCAGGAAAAAGGAACACGAGGAACTAGAGAAATACCAAAGAAGAACTTGAGAGAGCCTGGAGAGTGAAGGCATTGGTGGTGCCCGTGGCCATTGGGGCACTCGGGGCAGTAACCCCCAAACTGGAGGAGTGGCTAAAGCAGATCCCAGGAAAAACATCAGACGTCTCACTCCAGAAAAGTGCAGTACTAGGAACAGCTAAGATACTGCGCAGAACCCTCAAGCTCCCAGGCCTCTGGTAGAGGACCCGAGCTTGAAAAAAGACGAGACCACCTGCGGAGGGTGAGGAAGATCTTTTTTTTTATTATTATTTATAAAATTAGTTCTAAAACACGTCAAACAAACATTTAAGGAAATAAGCCTACACTATGTATTTCTCCCAACATCTAAAATAACAAGTAAATAAAACACCGCCGGGTTACTTAATGTGGCGTTTGAACAGTAAAAGAGCGTTTTCACATTGAAAAGGGCGTGTCTGTGGCACTTCTGTTTCCAGTGAACACGTAGCGATGGTTCTCCGCGTCGCCGAAGGTTCCTGTGAGAATCGAGTTCCGCGCCAGCGCTTCTCCTCACTGCAAAGGAGCGCCCATAGTGCGGCTGGCTTCGCACGGCACACCCAGTGCCGCCCCCCCCCCCAAACAACAATGACAACACTGTGCCTAGAGTTAATTTATGCTAGACGTTTCTCACTTCCACCCCATAACACACAGGCACGGACCCACATGTGATGTCGAATACAATGTTTTTCACCCTTTACCCGTTTTGGCTACACAGTGATAGTTTACATCAGGCTACTGGCCAAATACTGCGACTCCTTCATAAATAGCTTTTAGCCTTTCAATCATGTGATTTTTCTACATGCATTTAAATAAAAACAACTTAATAAAAAAAGACCAAAACTGTCATAATTTTAAAAATTTAATAGACTCGGGTATGGCAACGAAAATTCCATGCCAGATTTAAATACAATAAAGACAAAATTGACCGAAAGTTCAATAAACAATGCACTGCTGCCACCTTTTGGTCATGAATAACAGTCCTACAATTTGCAATGTATTAAATAAAATACAATGTTCCAGTGTATTTTATTGTGAGAAAACAATAAAAGTAACAATTTAAATGTTTATTTACGGCACCAGTAAATGAATTTGTCAACCAAAAGGCAAGTAAAAAGCATTAAAACTGTTAAAGTAGTAACAATTCACAAGTAGTAACTAGTGGGGACAGCATGTGGCTCCTTGGGCCAAGTCTCTGTGCCTATAATCAGAAAGTCACCAGTCCTATAGCCTTGCCTCAGCACATCTGCGGGGCCCTTAAGCAAGAACCTTAACTCCCAGCTCCCTGGTGTGATAACCGGTGTCCAGCGAGCAAGCAGGAAGCGGGGAATCATGAGTCGGGCAGACAATGATCCAAAATACGGGGTTTTAATGGGGATAGAACGGACTACACGGTACAAACGTCAATGACAAATCTGGGTAAATTGACTTGAATGCAGGCTTAAATACACAGGACTAAACTGGCAAAACAGGAAACAGCTGGTTACAATCGGGGTTTCACATGAGGGCGCCGTCCTCCAACGAGCAGGAGTGGTGAGAACCGCAGGCGACCAATAAGTCAACGCAGGGGAACCCGCAGGTGGCCGACAAGGCGTCAGAGGCGAAGGTGGCTGACGAACAGGAGCCAGAGGACCTGCAGGCGCCCCCCAAGCCTCAGCCAAGGCGAGCGAGGGCGAGCCAGGGGGCAGTGCGGGCGGGACCCGTACCCTGCACATGTGTCCTCTCCCCTTTCAGGAAACCCACAGCTGGGGACCTGGCCGGGATCCACTGTGATGAGGCAGGGGTGGGGGTCTCACCCCAGGGGGAGACCCCGGGGAAGTCCAGGTACTCCCTGAGGGGTACCTCTCAGGGGCCAAGGTCTGGGACATGGGTCCAAAGGCAGGCGGATCCAGGACGGGCAGTGTAGAGACAGGTGGAGCCTCTAAGGGCGGAGACTCTAACGGGCAGAACAGGGACGGGCGGAGCAGGGACGGGCGGAGCAGGGACGGGCGGAGCAGGGACGGGCGGAGCAGGGACGGGCGGAGGCGCCGGGGCCTCGGGCGGA